TGCTGGCTAGGTACTTTTGTTAGTAGGGCACATTCTTAATTCACTGATAATAAATCCCATGCTAATTGTGGCGTGAAGAAATCAGAACTGCTTATAAAAGTACTTGCTGGGAAAACTAACCAGCCAGCTCCTTACACAAAATGACAGCCATCTGTCACTCAGACTGGTTACCTTTCCTAACTTTATGCCTTAAATGGATAATTTCTTTAGAAAGTCACTTCCCCGTGCAGTCATGAAGGAGGGAAAGAGCTATAAAGACCCAAGCTGTTTTTTTATACCAGGCTGTAAACGTGTTTATTTCTGCTGTATTTCTGCCAGGAATTGAATCACTTTTGCAGCCGGCCTCAAGTGGCCATTTGAGCAACTGCAGTTTTTGGCACTTGGTGTTGGAATCACTTTAAAATTGGAGGTTGATCTTGGCAAAAATATTATTACATGTGAGTCTCTTCTTATTGATGTTAACACACCATTGATAACTTTCCAAAGCTTTCCCCATAAACCTCATATATCATTCACTGTGGACTTCCTGGATCTTCTCACTTGCAGTGTACCTGTAATGTTCTGCCCACACAAACACACTGCCCTGCAGTTATACTTTTGGTGTAGATACACTCTAATAAAAGAACAGCATGTCAGAATTCCTCTTAGAAAAGTTCTGTGTGGGTTTCACAAGAGCCCTCAGAGCTAACACAAGTAATCTGAGTAGATCACAGGTTCACGCTGCTTCACACTCCACTGTGTCCTCTTCTCTGAAGTATATGAAGCAGCTGTAATTCTTAAAAACTGTAAAACAGAAAATAGTCTGCTCTTAGCCTTTATAGCATCTTTAAACTTCATCACTTTTACAAAGCGTATTGCATGTGTTTTGCATTTACTCACACGCACACTAACGGCAGCAGAGCTGCCATTAATTACACACGGACATCTGCATATGAACTAGAGATGGCACGATACCACTTTTTTATGTCCGATACAGATATCATAAATTTGGATATCTGCCGATACCGATATGAATCCAATATAGTGTGTTTTTTAATCAATAAAACTTTTTTTTAAATATCTTGCTGCATTTTGTATAAGTTCATGTTCAAGTTTAAATAAACAACACTAAAGCTATTCTGTTATACCTGTGTGTAAAAAAATACACTGCACCCAAAATATTTCATAGTTCAGCAACACTGATCAATCTAATAAACTTAAACCT